CTGCAAATACCAAGGCCAAGTTTCCAGGTTGAAACTTTGTACAAGACCTTCCATGACACAGCGAGGATGGTATAGCGTTCGGGGTCTGGATCCTCAGGGTCTTGCCAGTCCTCAAGTTGCAAATCGAGACGTTTCCAATGAATGTATGTAGCCTCATGCACCCTTTCGATTTCATCCTGGGTACAAAACTACAGTCTGTATAGTGAGCGGGTACGCGAATCTCGCCATCTGAAGAGGGGTTCTTCCGTAGGATAGGAAGGTAGTCGTGACGCTGATAAAAGAAGTTTACCAGGGGATCATGTACAGATACTGGTAGAGGAGTGGGATTGGCATGGCGCCATGGAATTGGAATGTACTAAAGCATGAAGGTAGCACTCCAGGGCCGACGACAGCGTTTGTGGATAGCTCTCGTTCGATGAATGATAAGGAAGAATATGTTTAAGGGTTTCGGAAGAGTTTCAGAAAGGTTGAAGATCAGCTTTTCTGCTGTCAGAAGTGAGAATACTGCTACGAATAAACTCAGAGGATAGGCCGAACTTGAAATGGATTTATCCCGAGATTTGTATACATATAAAGTTGCTTTCGAGTTTCCTTTATCATCTCTGGAGGAGGTCTAGTCCATGGTGTGGAGAGTGTGGTGTTCTGGAGGTGGAAGGTCAAAGCAAGCCGTAGCAAACTCAAGCTGACAGCCAATCAGATTCGCATTTCACAATTTCACACTCCACAACAACAATCATCCATACATCCATGCCAATCGTCGACATCCTAATCCTCGGCGCAGGCTGGACCTCCAGCTTCCTAATTCCCCTCTGTCGACAGCGTAACATCTCATTTGCAGCTACCACTCGATCCGGATCTGCCAGTGCCATTGCTTCTGATTCCACTGGAATAAACTACATAAAATTCGCCTTTGATCAAACCTCTTCCGACTATTCATCTTTCGAGGTGCTACCTGATGCGCGTACGGTGTTGATAACGTTTCCGATTACGGTTGAAGGAGGGTCGAGGAGGCTTGTGGAGGGGTATTTGAGTACGAGGAAAGATACTGCTAGTGAGCAAGTCAAGAGTGCGTTTATTCAGTTGGGTGCTACCAGTATTTGGGGCGTGAGTCTTTCCTTTGATTCCATGTACTGTAGTAGTTTTATTCATATTGAACAGGAACTTAAACTTTCTCGCAAAAACAGAGACCCGTCTGTACCAGAAGCGCCGGCACCAAACAAATGGTACGACAGACATAGTCCATACAATCACGCAGATCGTTCGGACGCCGAGGACGAATTACTACAATTGGCTGCTAATCCGGAATTCCAAACCCCAACAACTGTACTCGATCTCGCAGGTCTTTACGGAGGAACAAGGTCTATGAAAAAATGGGTTGGGAGGGTGGCGCCGACCAAGGAGGTTTTGAGGAATAAGGTGAGGAGTGTGTAGCTCAGCATTCTGACCATCGATGAACAATGCCGCTGCCAGGGAAGTTTACATATGATCCATGGCATCGACGTCGCTCGCGCGATCCTCGCCGTACACGGACAATTTTCCAAGGCATCCGGACAGCGTTGGCTACTGACAGACGGGAGAGTATATGACTGGTGGGATCTTGCGTCTGGCTGGTCGCAGTGTTCTGGTCCAACTGACGCTGCCAGTACCTCCAACTCTCACTCTCATCCTTCAGAAGACCAAGGACCTCAAGCATCCTGGGTCCTTTCGCTGATGCGTGAAAGTGGCGTCCGCGCGCTCCCTCGCAGTAATGAAACCCTCGGCCGAGTGTTGGATTCGAGAGAGTTTTGGGAGACGTTTGAATTGGTGCCTTTGAAGGGAAGGATGGAGGAATGAGGCATCCTAAAGGTACATTCGATCCGTTGAAAGCATTGGCAATGAGGAAAAATACAAGAAGGATAATACAAGTTGAAGATGGAGTTGATTAGAAATCGAAATCGTCGTCAAAGTCTTTCCGCCTTTGGAACTGTAAATGGAAAGAGATTAGCATGGCAATAATACTTGGAAAGTAAACGCAACGTACGACAATTGTCGGCTTTTTTGCTGATGTCTGGCCGCCTTGAGCACTTTCCATCTGGAAACAACCAGATTTAGTGTAAGAACTTCAATGAAAGATACTGAGCGCACTTGATCCAATAATTCGATCAACTGATTCTCCGATACCCTCCCTTTCAACTGACCACCTTGCGCCATTCTTAATAAAATCATCTCAATCTGCTTAGAACGTTCGGGGCTGACGAGGGAGATGCGGGATACTGCAGACAAGGTCAAATCCAAGCTGAAAGGTAAATGAATAGAACATACATCGTTCTCTTGCACCAGTATCCAACACAGTCGCCATCATATCCCGTCGCATCTGTTCTTCTTGGGCTTTCTTCGCAGCTTCATCTTGTGGATTTTGTCCGCTCTGGCCTTGTGCGCCATCGGGTATCTGACTGAGAATCATCAGAGCTGCGAAGTTGAGTTAGGGCAGGAAGCAGAACTCGCGCTAATTTACGAAGGTGCTGACAAATATGTGCAAACATTGATGAGTGGGCGCTAAAGTAGGCGCTCCGGATTCTCAATGATCGATCCTCGTTTTTTCTTTGCTTCTCCTACTCCCTTATCGATCCGTGCTCAGGAGAAGTCCTGGACACCATGCTATCCATTCAGCTCGATCTTTTGACCTCAGATCTTTGCTCACTCTGACACCCTTGCTCACTGCCTATGAACATGAATTATTGTTCCTTTTCGTTGATGAGACAATCTTGCCTGAGGCTGGCCGCTGCATGCACTCGTCGAAGAATTCGAATGCTTGGGTCTGAGAGGGGAGTGCGGGCACTGTGCAATCGTCCTTGTTCTCTGCACTGCGCCACGTACACTCTGCCGCAAGCGCGCTTTAGTGCCTCCGTCAAAATCAATTCAGTTTTGCATTGTCAAAAGGCATGTATTGTGTTTTCAAGAACAACCACTGCCATTTACACAATACTTTGTCCTTCCTAATTGGCTCAAGACAAAAGAAAACGTCCAATGACATTGGGCCGTAATTTACGTAAACGTCAAGATCCCTTTGTTGAAACTTTCAATTCAGTCAAGTTCATTGTTCTCTTCGAGTATAAAAAAGCCTCCTCTTCGGATCTCAATGGATTACTCACCTATTCTTCCTTCTTCCTGCTTTCCCTTCGAGCTTGCCTCACCTTCACATCTTCACCTTCAACACACACCAGCTGGCTAACTTGCACACGATGTTCTCTTACAAAACTTCTGCTTTTGCTGCCCTAGTTGGCATATCTCTTGCTGCCATCCCACTTGTTCGATCTGCGACAATTGATGTTACTGTTGGAGCTCTTAATGGAACTGTTATCGCTTATACGCCTAGTTATGTGGTACGTCGCTCGTTTTGACATTGACTATGCGACCTTTACTCACCAATTCCTTAGAACGCAAGTGTCGGCGACGTTGTCCGATTCACTTTCCAGCAGAAAAACCACACTGTCACTCAATCATCTTTTTCTTCGCCTTGTTCTCCGCTTGCCGGTGGTTTCGACTCTGGATTGTAAGTTTCATGCGGGTTTTTTTGCGCGCTATATCATTAACAAAACTTTACCTTAGCGTTCCCGTCGAAGCTAATGCTACCAGCGGCTTCCAAACGGCTGAATTAACTATCCAGAACACCGACGTGAGCTACTTATCCTTTCTTCGTTCCCTCAGAATTCCGTCTAACTTTTGTCTTTCCAGCCTGTTTGGGTATACTGTCGTCAAACCGGACACTGTGAAGACGGAATGGTATTTGCCGTCAATCCCGGCTCCGAAGCCAAATTCGCTGCATTCCAAGCCGCTGCTATGGGATCCAACTCGACCACCAACTCAACCTCCACTGCTGCCGCCTCTGCGGTCACCGTCACCGCGACCGTTACTGCCTCTAGTGGAGACACCGTTACGACTACATACGGCTCGTACCCTGGCTCAGTGGCACCTACTGCCGCCACTTCGACCGACCATCTTATCATTGTGGGCAACAATGGCACCCTCACGTATTCTCCTTCAAACATCACTGCTCAAATTGGAGATACCGTGACGTTCCAGTTCCACCAGAAGAACCACACCGTTACGCAGAGTTCTTTCGCTGATGTGAGTGGTGATTTCATTCGAGTATTGAATGTCTAGCTCATTGTCTTTTTGTAGCCTTGTACCGCTCTGTCAGCTAGTAGCGCGGGAACCGTCAGCTTCGACTCTGGATTCATGCCCGTCGCCACTAACGCCACTACTTTCCCTACCATGACCATCCAGATCAACGACGTACGTTACATCTAGTAAATTTCCTCACTACAACGCTAACCTTCCCTTCTTGCAGACAAAACCCATCTGGGGATACTGCCGTCAATCAAACCCCGTCTCCCACTGTGAATCTGGAATGGTATTCAGTATCAACGCCGTAGAGAACAGTACCAGCTCGTTCGAGGCTTTCCAAGCCAAGGCCCTCTCGCTTAACTCTTCGCTGTCCTCGCCTTCGTCTGCGAGCTCGTCCAACAACAGCGCCTCATCAATATCACCGATCCGCGATGCTGGCATCGCGTTCGCTGCTGTTGTTTTGAGCAGCGTTGTTGGTGCTTTGCTATAGGCGTTCAGTGGAGCTTGTCTTTGACAAAAGCAGCGTTCTTTATCATGAACTTGCGATGAACAGTACGATGACTTTCCTACGCACGCCCTGGGTTTTTGGCGGACATTGTATCCTTACCCTACGATAGTATAGTATCTACGTGGCTAGGCTACCCTTAATTTTCTGTAGCATTATAATGGCTTGTTTTCTTCTTTTTGTATCGGTTATTACTTGGTGCTAGATATAGTACTTTACGCATACTTACTGACTATCCCTCACGCAACGCATTCATTTCATTCGGACTGGATTAGACTGTTTCTTTTATCTCTCGGTACAACTAGCATATGCTGTGAATTGACTTGCTTTTCAAGTTTGCTCTTCGAGGAGGTTGTGTATTATAAGTGCATGTCAATTAAATAGTATCGCCCGCCTAGCTCAATCGGATAGAGCGTCAGACTCTTACTAGTCTATAGGCAGGTGAATCTGAAGGCTGCGAGTTCGACCCTCGCGGTGGGCTAATATTAGGTGTTGAAGCTCAACGGAGCACTAAATATCCTTTCTTTTTTTCTTTCTTTTTTCTTTCTTTTTTTTTTTTGCCCGTACGATATAGCACAACCAGTCATCCCTGCAGGGGCTCAAACGTTCAAGCAAGTCTCAACATCCAGCCACAACGTTCTCAATCAAATTTCTATTAATGGCTACAGAAATTCACTAAAAGCTTACTTACTATTCGACCACAAAGTTCTCGACACTAATGCCACGATGCTTTCTTGCTTTCTTGAACTTCGCCTCTTTGACTTCCAATTTACAATCGAAAGATTATCTGGAATCCTATCACCAGTGTTGCATGTGCATCCACCCCATTCCCGTCCATGAAAATCACAAGGCTGGCGACTCCGAAATTCCATCAGCTTCAAGTTCAAACAGTCTACTTATTTTTATCGGGCCAGCAATATTTAACAGCTCAGTTCCTTCCTTCTTCTTCACATGCTTCAGTGATGGTCTGAGTGAATTTATGCAATCCCCGCAATCCCGTTGTTTCAGAGACATAATCCACCGAAAGTGTCGTCCGACTCAAGTCCTTTACTACTCTCTAAACGTCGCGACTGCACGGCAGTTTCATCTGTTCCATAGCTCAGGTGAGGTGACTGGTCGCGTCGTCGTCCTGTGCACTTGTCGCGCTACGACATTTATCATCACCTTGTGATAGATGTTTCCACAATGTCTCTCGGTCATTTGACTGCCATTGGCTGCGGAAATGCTACATACCTTCCCCGTACACCGCACGAATATTATTTCATTTTGCAATAATCTATGTTATTCTTGATCCGTCACAATAAAAAACTAGGATAAATGGCCCCCGCAGGATGAAGTGTGGGGTCGAAGATCTTCCCCACATTTCCCCGCGCGGTTTTCTCAGTACTACAGGTTGCCTAGTCGCCATCCAGGATGCACTCTTTGTTGTTGTTCACCGCTGCACTCAGTGCTCTCCTTGGTTCAACCTCCGCGAAGCCTGTTAATCTGAAATCCAGGACTACTACCGCAGTCTCGGCCTCTGAGCTCGCTAGTTTTGCTCCCTACACACAGTTCGCGAGGGCGGCATACTGTCCCACTGACATCCTTCAAACTTGGACCTGTGGCGGTATGTCTTTTTACCACTACATACTAATTGTTAGTGTGATGACATTAAAACATGACTACAGAGGCCTGTGAGGCGAATTCGGACTTTGAGGTTTCGCTCGTTGGTGGCGACGGTGATGATATACAAATTTGTGGGTTCATGGCTTTCTCTCCTAATCGAATTTGATCCTTACTGACGCAAATTTATATTACAGACTTTGTCGGGTAAACACACGCCTGATATCTACGAAGAAGTCAATACTGATCCCAGGAAACAGATACTCGCCTTCCTTGGACTCCATCATTGTTGCTCATGAGGGAACGGACCCTACTCAGCTGTGAGCTCTTTGTTCGAATGTTACTGCTCCTACACTACATATCTCACGCATATATGCAGTGAATCAGATCTCACGGACGTAGAGTTTGATTTAGCCCCTCTGAGCACTACCCTTTTCCCGGGGGTTTCTTCCAGCGTAGAGGTGCATAGTGGCTTCCAAGACGAGCATGCCTTGACTGCTGCTACTATCTTGGCAGAAGTTAAGTCCCTTATGGCCTCCAAAGGGACCAACAACTTGGTTATGGTAAGACCAACGCCCTGCTCTCCGAGTGCACTTCATTTACAGGACATAGATTGGACACTCTCTTGGAGGGGCATTAGCTGAACTTGACACCGTCTTCTTCCGCTTGAACATACCCTCGGCTACCATATCGGGAATTACCTATGGAACACCCCGCGTGGGGAATCCTGCATGGGCTGCTTTGGTCGATTCATCGGACGTACGTTGAGCTATTCACCTTGGGGGATACCTTTTATTGAGCTTTATCACTAGGTGAACTTCCACCGGATAGACAACGAGCAAGGTAAGCTTTTTCAGTCTTGCTCTATTTTACACGTCGCTCAATCCACTTCCTAGATTTAATTCCAATCCTACCCGGGAAATTTTTGGGATACTTGCACCCGGCAGGAGAGATTCATCTCCTCGGTGAGGGAGATGCGGTGGCATGCTCCGGCGATGACGACGACAGCGACGCTCAGTGCACGGATGTAAGCTTTCGATTTCTTTTATATTTTCTGTCGCTCACGATTCCACCTTTTATAGCAATCTGTACCGACAATTTTAGAAGGAGACATTATCGATCATGTAAGATCCTGTCCAACAAGTTCCTGTGGACGTAATACTGACCTAATTTCTTTCTACAAGCTGGGGCCCTATGAAGGAATTTTCATCGGTACAATCTTTTGTACTTAGAACAAATTGGCAAGGGATAATTGCCACTGTACGATATCTTGAGTGAATTGATTCTTCAAGCTTCAACTAAAGCGAGTGTCGATACTCAGTTTAAATTGCAAAGAATTTAGTAAATCCTCCTGATACTTTGTCTCCCGTAGGCAGACTCTCGCAAGCAAGCTTGCTAATTACCTGATACTCCGCTTTGCTGAGAGGCAACTCTTGGCCATTTTTATAGACACACAATTCGAAAATGACTCGGCTTGACACAGCCTTTCAATATCACCTTTAGCATCACCATCATCTTATGCTCTATACAACTCCACAAATTTCCCGGATCTTCCAGTTGAACTTGCTTGCAACCTTCATGTCGTCCGCTGAGTCGTCTGACACTCCGCTCAATGCGCCTGCTATGCGGCGACCCCGCAAACAACCTCGTTTTCCAGAAACTCTCGAGTCCTTCTGGCAAACAATCGGTCCCATCTTGGAACACATATTCGACTCGCCCTATGTACCTGTCGACGCCGAGGAATATTCCATCGTCTACTCGAAGTGCTTCAACTACATGAATTCGAGTTCGGCCTCAATGCCTGGGTACAAAAAAATCCATGACTTCTTTGCTGAACGAGCGAAGAAAGTCTTTGACAACGCACATGTTGAGTCTGGCTTGCAGCTAGTTAGATATGTTCTGGCGGAATTTTCTGGATTCTCTGCAGCAGTACGACTTGTCTCTCGTATGCTGGCATACTTTGACCGCCATCTGGTCTCGACACTTGTACAGGAAGGGTCCGGGTGGTCTAGTGCTGGAAGGCCAGTGACGCACGGCCACCCAAAAAATCCGGATCTCAGGCTCAAACTCGAAATAGCACTGAAGGTAGAGAGATGGGGGTACCACAAGGATGCTGGATCAAAAAATTTGGGAACCTTGGAAGAAGTGGAATCTTGGGCTGAAGCAGGCAGTACCTTAGACTGCATCGTGCCCATGTCCTCTTTAGCCTATCGACGCTTCAGAATGATAGTCCTCGAACCACTATTCTCAGGTGAAGGTGGCCTAATTACCGCAATCGAAGGATTGCTGGATCGCACCCAGAATCAGGAACTAGCGCTTTCAGAAAGGGAGAGCTTAGTTCTAAGGTTAAGGGGAGCATTCCGGAGATGTGGAGTAGATCCAGAGCAGCCTGTACGAGTTAAACTGGAGTCTTACTCTGCAAGCCCAAGTGTAAGTTCATGATGAGTAGAACGATTGCGATTTCGCGTTTTCTATATTGGCTAATGCTACTGCCAGATTTGAGAGCTCGGCCAGCGCAGAAAGGATCTCATATTTAATGGTGTCGGCACGAAAAAGAACAGTTTGTATTAGTACGATTCAATGCAACGTTTTACATACTACTGATCGACATCACTCATAGGAAAATGCTATTTTTTGTTAGTACTCTACCGTAGAGTCACTACAGCACATTGGTGCTAGTATCGGAAAAATGTGCAGTTCAATCTCGAAGCTACAAAGGGTCAGGAACATGGGTCGAATACTGGGAATACTGATTGATAACAAGCGAAATTGAAGGCAGAATCCACATGCTGTGTAGGTTTTCAGACCTTCTGAATCCACAATCTTTTGGAACTACACTAGAGCTGCTTGTGCACGTCACGAATGGTCTTCCACTTCCTTCCTGGCCAGAGCTTATTTCCGCTGTTAGATGCTGTTTCCCCACTTCCATCGGCTTTCAAAATCCAATTCCACCCCGTACTTCCTGCTCCGCTATCTCCAATCCCGGCTACCGTTGTTCTAAGTTCCGAATCCGGCCCTGGAACTGCATCCACGTACACAATCTCCTTGTTGTACATATTTGCGATCTCGACGAGGGAAGCCCGGTCACCTTCGATGCGGATCATCTTCATCGCAGAAAGCTCGGATGGGGAGTGATGCGTCAAGATATAAGCGACGAATTCTAAAAATGACGAGATTGACTCGGAGCCAGTGCAAGTCCTCAGAGCTATGTACTAACCACTAACGTCTACTTCCGAGGTGAAAGTGAGGGGCTTGAGTCCGGTTCCTACGATGTTGAACTTTCCATTCACATCTAGTCCTGTCATGAAGGGGATGAAGGATTCAATAAAGGCGCCATTCTGGGTATAACTAGTTTAGTTTCGCTACTGCCGTTGAGCTGAACACTAACAAAGATTCGGACATAGGGCAGCCCTATCGACTCCAAATGTTCTACGAGATAAACGTTAATATATACGTTTCACAAAGTATTACTCGCCACTTACTCGCCACTTGGGCCTTTCCATAGAACAGAGGCGCATCCTCTGGTGCGCCTTCCGTCGACGTTCCGAATTCAGAAGGGAGAAAAAGTTTTACACCGGCCGCTTTTGCTGCATCTGCAATACTAGTCTGTATTTCCAAGGCTGTAGCTGCGACCGTACACACAACCACGCTGATTCTGTGCTGTGTGAGCGCAGCGGTCAGGCTATCCCTGTTGGTGTAGGCGTCAATCTTGACGATGACTGCATCACTGGGGAGAGCTTCTGGGTTGGGGTTTCGAGATACAATGACGACCTTGATTGTACCAGTGGCTACGAGAGCAGTAATTATTCTGGTCCCGATGTAGCCTGAGCCAATAACTGCGATAGAAGTGGACATTTCCGAAAATTTGACTTGGAATGT